GCGATTTAATATCGCAAGGGAGAAGGATGTGAGGCCCCAGCCCATGTCTATATTCCCCCCACAACATCAATTGATGTTGTGTCGTCTGATAATTATGTCATGACGCTAATTCAGTGTCACGGAAGCTTCTCTATTTATTTGTGCCAAGAATGCATTAGAATGTATATAAACCCTCAGGGTAGCTGTAAAAGGCGGATCAGCCTTTACTTCTACCCTGTTAATATACAGCCCATCAAAGCATATACTTAGATGGACTAACTGAGGCCTGAGGTGAATGGGAGAATGGAACGTACCATCCCCAAACAAGTAAGATCACCTTTCAGTGAAGTTCTACATAAGCCAGAAGAAATTCCAGCCATTTGCTCCAATCCTAGATATCCTAGGAAGCCACATGGATGAACAAGGCATCCATGCCCAAGCAGGTAAAATGGAAAAAATCCGCAACTGGCAACAGCCAGTAGACCACACAGGAGTCTTACAATTCCTGGGAATGGTAGAATATCTATTGATATTCATGCCGAATGTCAGTGGCTACACAGGGCCACTGCAAACAATCTGCTCGAACAAGCAGATATTCAGGTGGACCCCACTCCACCAGAAATGCTTCAATGAGATAAAACATCTCATGTGCGGGGCTCCAATTCTGAAGCCTGTCCAGTGGAATCCACCGGAAAACCTCTCAATAGAAGAGAGGGACAAACTCCACATCTGGGTTATAATAGATGCATGCCCAGCAGGCATGGGTGCACTAATTGGGCAAGGCAAAAAGTGGCAAACTTGCCACCCTGCCATGTTTATGTCCAAAAAGTTCACAAACACTCAGCATAGGTATTTTGCCTACGAACTTGAGGCACTCGGAGTCCTTGAGAGATACTCAATCCAATTCTGCTCGAACTTATGCTTCTCTGGCTTCAAGAAGAGTCTCCGCTTCCACAGCATCTCCAGGACTTCTCGGACAACCCTCCAGTGCTCCTCCAGGGTGTGTTAGAGACCGGATCAAGACGAAGGAGATGTCTCCATGGCGGAGGGCTTCAGCCTCAGTGACTCAGACCAGGAGCACTGTGCCAAGTTACATGTCCGTGCCCTAATTTACTTACTGGCAACGAGAACTAAAGGGGGATCAACTCTAGTCAATTTTATCACTGAAGTGTAACCTATGTACAAGTTAAGTATATAGTTACAGTGAGGGCAGGCCCGTGAATAGCGGGACTGAGCAGAGTGGAGCTAATGGGGATAGATGTTAGCCAACTGAATATTACCGACAAGTTGGGTTGCGGGTTTAACGGAATGATGGGTTATGACCCACAAGTGGAAAGGAGGGATAGGCCTGAAGGTAGACTTGCAGGGCAAGCAAGTGAATTGCCCAGCGGAGGCAGGAATGCGCTAGTGGACGTCAGGGCTGTCCAGAGAGCTTCGGGGCTCCGTACTTAGGGAGGTGTAGGTAATATGTGACCATCAGGGGGGTCGGAGGTGATTGCAGAAACCAGGGGCTCCGAGGTTAGTGGTGGAGGAGCAGAGGTAATCCGGAGGAGCAGAGGTGGTCGAGGGTGATGGCCATGGATGGATATGACAGGGTGGCAGTGAAGATCAAAATGTCATCCACGTAGCAGATGACAACCTCCTGGTTGATGAAGTCTCGGAGGATGTCGTTCATTGTCTGGAAGGTCATGGGGGAGTTACACAGGCCAAAGAACATAATGGTGGGCTCGAATAGCCCACAGTTGGTCGAAAACGCCACCTTCCACTCATCACCATCCTTGATGCAGACGTTGTTAAATCCCCAGTGCAGATCTAGCACCGAGAAGTACTTGGTGTTTTGGAGGTGTGTGAGGACGTCCGAAATGAGTGGGAGGGGGTACAAGTTTTTGACCATGATCTCATTGAGCTTCCAGTAATCTTGGACTAGGTGCAACGATCCATCCTTCTTCTTGATGAAGAAGACTGGGGCTCCCATCGGGGATTTGGACACCCATATGCGCCCGTTCTGCAGGTTCTCGCACAGGAACTCGTCTTGTTCCTTCTGTTCTGGTTGTGACAGAGGGAAGGTTCTCCCCCTCAGGAGTTTGGCATCTGGCACCAGGTCTATTGCATGGTCCCAGGGCTTCCGTGGGGGCAGCTGGTTGAAGGCCTCCTTCAAGAATATGTCCCGGAAGTCTTGGTACTGTTCTGGGACTAGCGCCTCAAATGGTGCAGGCTCTGCTTCTGGTTTGAGGGCCTCCTGGGCCATCCACTGGGATGGTGTCGTGGTTGCTCTCAGTTTGTGTCCCCACCCCAGAGGGATGATAGCGGCGTAAATCCCATCCCCCAGTTCCACTACAGGGTCTTTGTTGGGGTGTCCTCACGCTGACCAACAGGAGGATGGGCAGCGAGACATAATGACCTTTTGCTGCTTCCAGTCTACCTCTGGGTTGTGGTGCAGCAACCACGAGTGTCCTATGATGAGGGACTACTGTCCAAGGTTCGTGACAGCGAAGCAGGCCTGCTCCATGTGCCGTCCGAATGTCAAGGGCCTCTAGTTCCTCAGTTATGGCCCCGTTCTCATTTGGGGTCCCATCGACGTTGCAGACAGGGATGGGTTGGGGGAGCGGGGTTGTCTTGAGCCCATGCTTTCTGACAAACTCGGGGCTTATGAAGTTCCCAGTGGCACCCGAGTCCAAGAGGGCTGATACAGAGACAGTAGCAAGGGAGGTCAAGGTAGTCAGTTTTACGGCTAGGTTGAGGGACCTGGGGCATTTACCATTTCAAGTCTCATTTTAACTAAATGTCGCTGGATAAAAATGGAATAAATCAGCTGAAGGTCTCAGCACAGCCATACGCATAGTAATGCGAAGTTTGAATTCAGAATCACCAAGTCATAGCGAATTTAGTGGTAAATATGAGGAATTTGAAATAGGAAACTGCAACAAATGCAGCGCAGTCAAGTTCTAATTAACCATTAAAATAGTTTAGGCGAGGAAGGACAATAAGGATTCTAGGCGCAGTCTGACCACAGTAGAGCTGCAGTTCAGTGCAGCAGAGCGCAGTAGAACTATAGCGTGAAAATTTCATTTTTTATTCAGTTTGAGAAAAATACACTGTAAATAAATCCTGTAAATACGAGGTAGAGCATGAAAAAGGAAGGCAAAACAGAACCAAAATGGGTGAGGAAGAGCCCTAAAGGGGTGATGAGCTAAGTGAGTGCATCCCAAATGGGAGCTGAAGTAAGCGCCTTCATCCAATGAGAGTGTGTGAGACCTAGCTCCAACCAATCAGCATTCGCAATTCGTGGAGCATGTCCGCGCTCTTTATATATAGTAGATATTCAATGCCCTTGTTGCCGGGATTGTCCCATTTGAGGGGAACTCATGTGGCCATGTGATGTATGTATTGGTGATGGGGTATGAATGTGCCTAATCAGGTTCAACTGAGCAAACACGAACGGATACTGATAATACACGCAAATTCAGAGAAACAATGACACGAGAGATGTGAGGAGAATTTGCAAGACAAAAGCTCAAGATCGTTCTAATGGTGGTGAAAGGGGTTGGGGGTGGGAGAGACAAAACTAGTCAGACTATAGCAGCGGATGTGAGCAAGTTAAGACGATAGCGGCAGCCAGGGAAGCAGGAGAGGCAGCAGCAGCAGTTCACAAGTGAGTTTTGATGAGCAGCAGCAAGTTGGCATTTGACTCACCACGAGAGATGTGAGGAGATTCAGCCAATAAGGAGAGGAAAGGGGCATCATGGAAGCCCTTTTTATAAACATGGCCTGAATTATCGTGAGCATTCTCATGATGAGTGAAGTTCAGTACATACCTCTACTGGTATAATCTGCTTCACGCATCTGCACCAGAAAACCCAGCGTACAACTGAGGCATGGTTCCTGGGTCCATCAAATGGTCAGGTTTGCACAGCAGCTCGTGAAAGATAGGGCAGCAAAGGGGTGAGCGTGGTGCTGAGACAGGCGCAGTGGGGTCCAATCAAGCAAGAGAGGTTGCAGCATCAGCTGGGCCGATTCTGGTCATTGCCCCATGATTAGTCTCATGAAATGAGGTCATTAAACAATAATTAAATGGGAAGTCAAATGGAGCACCCCATCATTCAAAGCCTCAGGTATTAGATGCTACTGTCAGGTGACACCCGGGCTCCCTCGACCCCGGACAAGTCAGCGTCCGGGGCTGAGCCTGGTGGGGGGCGGATCGGGCATGCGTACTGACAGGCCCGATGCAGGACAGTGGTCCCTGGCCACTTAGACTGAAGTGGAAAGTTGAGAAGAAGGCTACTTCTTCGGTTCCCACTTCAGGTTCGTTTATATACATGTGGCTTAGATCACATGACAGGTGCCACGTCACCCTCGCACACAGCTGTAACCACCCGGGTGTCTCCATGGGAGATCCCAAGGCCATCCGGTGCATGCACGCATGCTGGGCATAGCGGGAAGTTGCCCAAGGTGCCCAGGCCAGGTACATGGTGGGCGTGCAGCAGATGGGTCAATGGTACATCATCAATTTTGTAAGGGGCATGAAGACATTTGAGTTGGGTTAGACCAGTGGTTGGTATGCCATCTAACCCATGGTTGGAGGGATTATTGGCACCCACCCTGATGAGAAATTTCTCATTGGGGCATAACTCTGTGAATCCTCCAGCTGAAAGTGACAAACATGCCCTGATGGAAAAGATTTCATCAGGGCACAATTCAGTGGTTCCACCCAATCACTGACCATGGCCCTGATGGAAAAGTTTCCATCAGGGTGACATCCTTCCATCTTCATCTCCAACATCATGTAGTGCTCCAATTGTCCCCTCCACCATAATACATTTCAATTACCATACCATATATGTCATATTCACTTACTGTCCCTTACCATATATGGGATGCCTTATCATTATCCTATCCTGTCTTCTCCTCACACATGACACATCTTTCCTCTCACCACCACCCCACCATCATCATGTCTAAATTTTGTAAGTGCCTCTCAGTTATCCCTTGGCACATATCCTAAAAACATCCTCTCCTTTGTCATGTCAGCAGCAGTTCCACCCAAACCTCAGCCCTCATCCTCACGTTCCCAAGCACTTATGAAGAAAGTCAAGTTGAACCTGATTGTCAGCAATGACAATGAAGAAATTGAGCAATCGTTCACAACCATCATCAGCAATCATGCCCAATGGGCACATCATTGATATAAACCCCTCAATCTCCCTGCCGATCTGCAGGATCTTCAGAATGCTGAGGTCAAGGCCAAAGCAATTCATGTATGTCCACCAATTTCATTCTTGATCAACTTGATGCTCACAAAAATTTATTATGAATCAATAAATCCTCCCTTCCTGTCCCATCAAGGCTGCCCAAAGCCACTTGTTAGGCATATTTCATTATCACCTCCATACCAACCCCTACAACTTCACCTTTGGCTCAATTAATACATGTGCCCTAAACAAGAAAGCAGCAGACTTGATTGCCAGAGACCTAATATGCAATGGCATCAAATCGACATTGCCTGACTTTATGATCTCAATCCTGATCAAGAAGTCCTTCATCCAGCTCCCCACTGACAATCTCATCACCACTGCCACTGATGATCAATCGATCGACCAGCACCCCATCCTGTGTCTCATGGATGAAGGAGCCAAGGCAGGTGCTGTCATATCCATACCAACTCTGCCTAACCTCCGACCTACTCCGCCACCATTCCGGTCCACCTCTGGTCCATCCCCTCCCTCACCTCCACCATACCCTCCAGTATACCTCTGGTCCACCTCCACCTACGATCTCTGGTACAATCTCCAGTACCCCCTATCCTAATCATAGAAGGTTATTAATATTCCTACCTACCCAACATTACTATGGACCTCCTAGGACCTCTGCCAATCCTGCAAAGGTTTTCCCACTATCCAATAGCTGTCACTAATCCCACCCTTCAACTACTCACTCCACAGTGCTCGATAAGGCAATTCTCTCATGAGATTGCCAACCCAGCAAGTGGGTAAGTCCATCTTGGGTTTTCCCTTTGTTCCTATTTGTCTTGTATTATGTATATAAGTCTGTAGTTGATGGCACCTCAGTGCAAAATCGACAATAATGACTATTCCCCCAGAGTTCACACCCCCCTTGTTCTGAAGTTAAGGACCAGACACTAAGTGTTACTGAATGTAGGCACAGCACTCCCCTCCGAATTGCTGAGGCCATGACTTCGATGACATCCTTGTTTCGTGCGAGAAGCTCAATGATGAAGCTCCCCATACTTTCATCTTGTTCCAAAACATCTAAAAAGCTTTTGTCAGTTTGGACACGAATTTTGTGTTTTCCTCCACTTGCCCAAATCATACACCGCAGCAGGCCATGTCACAAGCTCTAGGAGCTTTAACTTCCATTCCTTCAACCTCTCCTCATCCTTCCGATATATTTCCCTCTCCTCCGACGTCGCCATATTATCAACCACCTTCCCTTCCACTGCTTCCCCATACTTCTTTACCTCACCGGCTACCGCTGCATATGCAGCCTGTAATGCCCCAATTCTGATGAATAATGATTATTATCAAATTATTTATAGCGAAAGAAAGCCAATAAATAATGTATCATACCGATGTTGTCCATTTAGAACTTGCAATTGGCCAGCCCTTGCTGCTAGCCAACCCACCTCACTCAGTTCAAGAACTGCCAATGACTTATGGTTATCTGGCGTGATTATTTTTGGCCAGTCAGTACTGGTCACCCAGGGTTGGCTGATCAACAGCACAACTGGCATATCTGGTCGTAGTCTTGATGGACCACTGTCCTCAATGATGCTATCTTTGATGCCATCCAACCCGGCTTGATCGATGGCCCGTGCATTCCTCACACTGTAGGTGAGAGGGAGAGAACTGTGGGTGTGAGCCTTCAGCTCACAAATGCCAATGAAGGCTTTCTCACGCAGCACATGGGACACTGCTATTGCCTTGTCATATGTCAAACGTCTCAGGTCCTCTGAGATCACCATGTGGCGTGAAAGGCCTTGGATATTCGCATTGGGGAGCGCTGTGCTTCCAGCCATGGTGGATGGGTGATGATGGTGGTGGGTGGTGAGCTGTAGCGTCTGATCGATCAATCAATCAGATCAATCACCTCACTGTTACTCATCATTACTCAAGTCCTACCATTCTGACTCATTCACCTGGTTGGCATAATTATTTCCCCAAATGCTGATATCACAACACTTTATCCTTGGTCCACCAGAACGTTCGCGAACATTCGCGATCAATCTGGTGGACCAAGGGTTGTGATATTATCAGTCTTGTATAATTTATTGTGTCTAGGTTCTATAATTATTGTACTGACAACCCACTTCTCCGCCATACTGTTCGCGTAAATTCTGGTGATCCTGCCTAAATTAACATGGCGGAACCCTTGCAGTGACGGAACCCTGACACTGTTTTCCCCTATAATGGTCGAGTCTGGGCTTGTCCAATGATGTGCAGGACACTACTGAAAGTGATGTTCCGAAGGGTCCGGAGTCGGAAGTTGTAGTCCGAAATAGTGGGGGGATGAAATAAATGAAATGGTGTATAAAGAGGTCTGAGATGACTGGAGATAGGTGGATGGAAGTTGGAGGTATAGGCGACAGAGATGATGAGGTCCAAATGGGTGTGAGGGAAGTAAGGAAGATGGTTGTCAGAGACCACAAGCGGGACGAAGGAGAAGTCCCCGTGGTGGAGGGCTTTGGCCTCAGCGACTTAGACCAGGAGCGCTGTGCCTAGTTACACGTCCATGCCCTAATTTACTAAGTGGCAATGAGAACTAGAAGAGGGAAACTCTAGTCGATTTTATCACTAGGGTGTAACCTATCTACAAGTTATGTATATATAGTTACATAGAGGGTGGGCCCATGAATGGCAGGACTGAGCAGAGTGGAGCTAACGGAGTTACATGTTAGCTGACTGAATATTCGGGTTATGGGGTTAGCGGAGTGGCGGGCTACAACCCAGAAACAGAAAGGAGGGAGCAGCCCGAAGGTAGGCTTGCAGGGTGATACTGAAAGTTATCTCTAATGGGGAACCGAGGTGTCAGGTCGAGGGAGGCAGAGTTGAAGGCCAGAGAATAAATGGGAACGAGAAATGGGTAAGGGAAGTGTCATATCCATGCATACCCAATCCTAACCCGACTCCCAGACCTCCTTCTTCACCACCTCCGGAGTCCTACCCTACCGCTGTCCGTTCCGATATTCACCTTCGGTCCTGATGCCACACCTCCTCTCACCCCTCATGCCATCTCCACTCCTCCATCCTCCTCCTGTCCTATCTCTGTTCGCTCCGATACTCACCTCGGACCGAACACCACTCCTCTTGCCACCCTCCTCCTACTCCTCCTCCCACTCCTCTGCTTCCTCCTCACAACACCTCCACCCTTCCATCGTTCTCCTACCCTTCGACCGTCCGCTCCGATACTCATCTTTGGACCTGACACCTTTCCTCTCCTCCACTCCTTTCCTCTTTCCTCTTTCCTCTCTCTTCCCTCTGGCCCTCTTCCGCCGACCTCCCGCCAAGTTACGACCTCCTGCCGCTGTCCCATACCTTGTACTCGGACGCCGCTCATACCTTTGCTCTGAGTCTCTGTCATAGTTCCTACCTCGGACTTTGACCCCACCTCGGCTTTATTCCATTGCATTGGTGACCTCATACTACATAAACACCATTGCCAATATTCCTCGGACTTTCAACCCTGCCTCTGTAAGCTTGGTAAGCTCTGCAACCTCTGAGCTCCACGGATCATCTTCGGCACTTTTGCCGCTTGTAATGTATCTTTCACGTTTCCCCCTCATCCCTATTTGGACTGCTGCTTCTTCCCATTCTAGCCAGTTAGTCATCATCCCCACTTCCCCTCATCCTCCTGCCCCTCTGGGCTTCGCCCTCCTTACCTCCTTTCGGATGTACCACAGGTTCTGCCCTATGACCTTCGGTACCGCTCCGCTTCTGTCATCCCTTTGTTCCCGTTTGGACGCCTTCGTTCCGATTCGGACCCCCTTTGTTTCCTTGTGCTTTCACCCTCTCCATTATATATATCGGCGCTTGTACATACTCGTTTTAGGCCTTAGTCTGAAATCGACCTGAAATGCCCCCAAGAGACTTTCCCTCTGCTAGATCCAAAATTAGGGACCCCCAGGACAACCAGCAATGGCACAGCGCTCCACCTGAGTGGCTGAGGCCGAGGTCCTTCCACGCTAAGTCTCTGGTTCCCCTCTGGAATCGTCCGCCCTCGCCCAGTTCTAACAGGAAGGTTAGCCCACTGAATGGAAAAAAGACATCAGCTGTGCTATAAGTGGAAGCTGACTAATTAAGATGACAAGGGTGGAGTCACCAGGGGTACAGGTAGCTCCAATGCCAGAGTTACATATCCGAGAAATGTTGGGTGACTCCAATAATTGAAATGGAGAGAGGAAGGGTTTAGAAGTATATAACAAAATGTTGGGGGTCTGTCAGGAGGTCGGAGCAATCCAGGGATTCTGAAGGTTCCGACTTGGAGCCAAGCTTCCGGGATGGAGGTGGCTAAGGGTGAGTGTGCCGAAGTCCAGGCCGGAGCTGAGACAGTAGGGACAGAAGCAGGGTGGGAACGCAAGGAGGAGTGGTGTAGGGGATGGCGAGGTTGTTAGGGAGGTGTAGTGAGGTGGGAAAGTGCGGGGTCAGGATTCTGGGATATGACAGTAAGTAGATCTTATTTCATACTAGATATATGCTGTATATAAGCCGAATCCAATCCAAACTAAAATCCAAGCAATCCAACCATGTGCCATGTCAGGTGGTGTCCCACCAGTTATAGAGTATGCAACAACCATGCAGCTGGTCAGCTAGCACAGCCACCCATACATCAGCTCTAATCAGCTCCCCTCGAGCTGATCAGCAACCATGGATCAGCTGGTCAGCTGGCACAGCCACCCATACATCAGCTCCAATCAGCTCCTCTCCAGCTGATCAGCAACCAAGGGATCAGCTGGTCAGCCAGCACAGCCACCCATATAGAAGAAATTCCCACAACCTATAAAAGGAAAAAAATCAGCTGTCCCATACATCAGCGGTAGTACGGTACTACCGGGCTGTCAAATACACAGGGTTTCATTAGTTTTGATGCAAACCCTCGTCCAGGTCATCTTATCCTGCACAACACCATTTGAGAGTGATTGATTACGCATGTACAAACAGTCAGCTCTCCTTCTGCTGCCTCTTAGGGCTCATGTAAATATATGTGACAAGTTTAGTAGCAATGCTCAGAGTCAACATCGGGCAAGTCAAGAAAGTGCAGATTTGCACTTTGAGCACCTCGTAGAGGCTGCTATTCTACCTTGGGGAGGACCCCCCAAGCCCACGTCAAGCCGAGTCAGACACATGCAAAGTTTAAGAGTTGATAATGGTGCCAAGGCTAGGATGTTGGATCACCAGAAGCCCCGAAGCAACGCCCGAAACGACAACGGAAGCAGCGGACGGAGGGGATGATGCATTTCCTGCTTCAACTTTCGCGTGCAGGATCGAAATTTCAAGCAGAGTCAACTGAGTGTGACGATCCAAGCAAGTAAGCAACGTTAGTCGTGAGCCATTGAAACAAGAGGTCAGAAGTGGGAATGGGCATACTTACTGATCAGTCCAAATCCTTCTAATCGACCAGTGGTTCTCCCGAAGTTTACGATCTTGAGCGATATCAGCACCAATTGCATAGTAGCCTAAATCCGCAGGTCAACAACTAGTAGTGCTGGAGAAGAATCACATACCAAGCACATACTGAGCAGGGCCATAGGCCCACGAGTCTTGTCAGCAAGCTCCTCACGAGGATGTCTTCCGAAAACAACATCCTGTACATTCTCACGACCTGTCTTGGAAATCCCCAGTGGATACGCCACAGCAACCGCGGCACGAATACTGGGTCTTTCCGACCTGATCTTGGCCTCCTCTTGCAGTTGGCCTGCTTATTCCGGGGGGAGGAGAAATGTCCATTGTTGTCCCGGAATGCATGGAAGGAATTTTCAGTACCAGATAAGTTCGGTGGAGTCCAGAGAATTGCACCCTGTACTACGGGCCGGATGAAGCTAGCCATCTCGTGCCTTCTCTGGTTAACCACTTCCAAACTTCGCCTCGTTTGAATCTGAAGGTGTCAAGGATGTAAATGTTATTCCACCTATCTCCGCGATTTTACTGGATGTACCATCTTTCCCGTCCATTTCTTCTCTGCCGATGCATTTGGTTTCGCCTCCTGCCCCAAGTTTCCCCCCGTTGCTGCCCCATCCATCACCCCCACTCCTGCTCTACCTCCCGTGTCATCTCATTACCCACCAACGTCGTACCCGCATCACTCTGTTCCCCCTCTTCCTGATGCCATCTCCCCTGAGGAAACGGCGAAAGCTAAGAAGGCTGCAAAGTACGCTATTAATGCGCTTGATTATGATGATCCTGATACAGCCAGGAAAGAACTCGTAAAGGCATTGGCTATTTTGGGCGTTTCTGTCGAACTTTTAGAATCTCGCACAGGCCCCAATTCATTTCTTATACATACCCCTCCCTTAATTTGAGTTCCTCATTGGTGTTCTCCGGTTTGAGACTATGCGCTCTGTACACCTTTCGCTCCACCTAGTTTGTTTTGGGTTTCATGCATTCATCTTTATCTCGTCCCATACATCATTGTAGCACATTCACACTCTTCCCATTATTGTCTCTGTTCGTCTCCTCAATCTACCCCCACCTTGGGGCTTCGCTGTCAGCTACAAGTTTTGTCTGTTTCCCTTTTCCTTAAATCCATCTAGCGCCAAAAGTGGACTGATATTCTGACCGGTATATCTTGCCTTTCTTTTCCCTTTAACCAGATATCCCATTCTAGTAGTACTAGTACGGTTGATCGACTCCGATCAATTCCTCCGTATTCCTTATTCTATTCCGTTTCCCATGATTCCCCTGATGGTCTGTTTTCTGCGTTTGCGCCATTGCCTGTCCTCGGATTCAGGTCTGAGCTGTATGTGATTTATGACCGTTTTTGATTCCACAGACGATTTGCTGTTACCATTTCGACCGATTTCTACGCGAGTTGTCGGGGCCCAGATCGGACCATGTGTAGCACCATGCATAAGAGCGCACGGAGAAGGTTGTTGCGTTGATATGTGGCAGTGCGGCTGTCCCACAACCTGAGGGGATCGGCAGGTAAGGGTGCCTGGTTGGTGTGGCGGGGTGACGGAGTCTGCTGGCTTGTGGTGTCGGGATTATCGGCTATACTGGATGGCTATGTACCTACAGTGTTTATGAACCTCCGCCTCTTCCGCGTGCTCCAGGTCGATCACGCTCCCTTGTTCTCTTGGGTGGTGCAGCATGGCGCCCGTTCTGTGGGTCGATTTCTGGAAGAGCGTACAGTAGGAAACCTAGTGATGGGGACGACCAAGGGTGGCAGATAGTGATGGAGGATCATGAGTAAGAGTTTGATGACAACATTGCACTTTCAGGGGAGTGGGCGTCGAGTGTTGGTCAGGTCAATGCCACAGCCTCAGGTTCGCTGGAGCTAATTATAATCGGTCAATGGCATAGCGCTTGGGCAAGCATGTCGAAATTAATTGCGAAGGGTACCTACGCTAACCACCAGATACTGGGCAAATGACAGCAACTTCTTCACCCTTGAAGTAAACTTCATTCACATCCGTTCATCTCAGCATCCACACTCCACGAACTCTCGTTCAAGACATCCTGTAGAGCAGGGTGACGTTCCACTGGAAGACGAGCGAGCTGACCGAGCGTGAGTGAAGTATCTGGGAAAGGAATCATCTCGGTGTGGAGACCTGTTGCGGATTGAGCAGCTGCAAAGTACAGCACAGTCACAAACTGGTTCCCAGTGTTCTGAGCAGCCGGCAAGGATCTGGACATGACCGATAAAACACGCTGAACTCGTGTCGATCTTTTGATCTAATTCGGAGTTTGTGGAAAAGTGTCTGAAATAATGAAGTTAATTACAATCAACTTCCTCTTTGGAGGCGCTGCGTGCCCACACTTTCATCGACCGATCCGCTGACTTCGTCATACAAAGAAAAGAGAAAAGGAAGTCTGACCTCTAGGTGCTAGTGCTCGTCATCACTCGCGTAAGATACCCACCCATCTATGTCCCAGCGTATCTCTACTTTCCATCCAAGAACCACGATCGGCGTCACACAAGTTGATATGAAAGATCGCCATTTCTCGTTTGGCAAATACAGGACCATTATCTTGAGCTTTTTCACGCACGGAAGTCCTTCAAGGCCCCGTTGGAGGACCATCACAATGTCGTCATCCGGAAGCTGGAAATAAGGGGAAACGATGCTGAGGTATTCAAGGCGCGGAAGGTCATGTCCAGTGAAAACGATGGCCTTTTCATCCAGTAGGTCCACAGATTGGATTGTAAGCGTGGAAACTGGACCGGTCGACTGCCCGAGCGCGGTCAATGCCCCGAGAAGTTTCCCATCCTCTTCACACCATATCAGTCTGACATCTCGTACCGGTCTGCCTGGGACTAGGGCTTTAACGACCTCGCATGGGCCAGTCAGCCCTAAGCTGGGCATTGCCACGGGCTTCGCTTCGCCGCGACTTCTTGGAGAAATCTGGAGATGTTGAAGGAGTCTTGTATATTTTCGGTGGGGTGGCGCGAAAGCTTTGTGCAGTCCTGGCGTGACGCTAAGCCGTAATTGTAAGATGTTGGGACAGAGCGTCAATACACTTGAGAGCAATCCCAAGTCTTATCAACGGTTCTAAAATTGTCAGTGCAGGCTCCGTGCAGAAGAAGCCTCGGTGTCTTCTTCGGGCGTATATTTCTCGGAGGGTCCAACCGGAAATTATGAGCGGGCAGGTCAATGAATAGTGACCACACAAACGATCCCCGCAATGGCCGAGCGATGATCGATTGGAAGAAACCCAGTGCGATCGTATCGTCCTCAAGTGAAACAATGCGGTACATCGCACGTTCAGCGACCGCTTTCCAGTTCCTGTTGACACGTGTCATGGCGTAAAGATCTGCTTTGCGAGTGATATATTCTCCCAAATCTCAAAGGGAAACTTTGAACGAAAGGTTGGGTCCACTGCGTGAGGAATAGCCTGTCAATGATATCAAGCATTAGATCTGACTTTATCATTCACGATGGATGGTTGGGAGCGAAACATTCGTTTGATAGCAGAACGGAACTACGAAGGCAAGTCAGTCATGAACAGTCACCAAACCCAATCCATACCTGATGGTTCATCCTGAACACTTTGCGCCAAAACTCTGCCTCAGATAGCTGCAGAGAAGGGAGGAGTAAGAGCGTCGAAAAGTCAGGAAGATGAGGATCGCAGCCGGCAAGACACAGGCGTGGCCTATGGATAAGAAGCGTACGGCTTGTATATATAATCCAAGTAGCGTGTAACTTGTGGTAAAAGCAAGCCACAGCCGGTTGGCACCGGTACGCAGCGACGCGAGCTGTATGTGTCCTCCAGCCATGGACGACTAGGATACAATATTGAATCTTGATACGTTGCAAGCTTGATTGACGTAGTTTACAGGTACACACAACCGTCAAACCAGGCTATAAGTGGGGACTCGGATTCATGGAGGTTCATTGGGCACGCGGGCGAAGGTACACATTGACGTATCCAAATCTTCGAGAAATTCAATCTCGCGAGCAGTTAAGTTACCGGTCTCAATGTTCGTGCGAGAGTGAAGTCCCTAAAAATGCATTACTGATGAGATGTTTGATGCATAATTGAGTGAAAATACCTTCGTTGGGGCAGCAATGTTTAACGGCGCTGTTGGCATGCCAAACTGGAGGCCTGGATTCAGCTCCCATGTTCGATTCTGCATCAAAAAGAACGCATCAAATACCATCCCAAACCAAAACAAGCGTCTAAGCAAGGACTCACAAGGTTTCTTTTAGGTTCCGCGGGGAGCTCCCAGTCCAGTGACGCAGGGGAAGTCGCGCGCGACTCTGATGCGGAGCCAGAATCGGAAAGGAAACCTTGAAAGCCTCTTCCAACTGTTTCTACGAAGCTAAGTCGTACACCACCCTGGTTCAGACGATTAAGTTCGCCGGTGAAGTCGAAGTTTTTCTTGCCAGTGTCGTCCTCATGCACATGGTCGCCTTCTTCATCTGAATATGTTTTCATAACTGATCCCAGACGGCGCAGTGACCGTGAGGGAAAAATGAGGGCCTGGCAATGAACCAGGAGAGGAGTTTGAGTCCGAAGTTGTAACCGGTAGAGACGAGTGAAGGTGGCATAGGGGGCTGAGGGATAGAAAGCGTATCATCCAACGATCGTGTTGTATCTTGGTCGCGGCTAGGACGCACAGTTTTCCGAGTCACACATTTGGGCCCACCCCTTCGCCTCCAGGGGTAAGAGGTATATGAGTTGGTGCTACAGGTGTGGCGGTCGTGAGCTGAATCGATGGAACGATCCGAGCGAGCAGTTGCCGGAGTAAGCAACGCGACGACGGCAACGTGCCTCAATGCCGGGTACCTCAGCTGCAAATACATAACGTCAGAATAATAGGTCTCGCCATCACAAGTGGATATCTCACCATTTTTCTGGTCCCACGGCAGCGTGGTTGCTGGGGTGAGCACCGCGACGGCGGCAGTGTGCCTCAGCACTGGGAGCCTCAACTGTAAATATAAGTGCACGTTGATGTCAGAATAATAAACATCGCGATCCTAAGCGAGTATCTTACCATTTTTCTGAACCAATAGCAACGCCATTGCTGGGTCATGCAGCCTGATGACAGCAGCATGCCCCAGCGCGGGGAGCCCCAGCTGTAAAGTACGATAATGTCAGAATAACAAACCACACTGATTCTAGGTGCAATATCTCACCGTTTGTCTCGGACCCAGTTGCTGGGGCACGGGCACGCAATGGGGCGCCAGTCAGGCGGATGGCAGACGCGGCAATGTCCGCTACCTTATTGTGTCGGCCTAGACTAGTGGGGTGATGGACATCTGGTCCAGTAATTTGCCTATCCTTGTCTACCCTCGTCTGTCCATCCATCCTTGTCTGGCCTCTCGTCCATCATCCATCCATCCCTTTCGCCCTTCCCTCAACAATGCTCCAGCCCCCCCTCGAGACCGTCAGTTCGCACTTTATCGTTGCCACATGTTATCACCCAGCTAATGTATCTTCTGTCATAGATCAACCTCGGTATGCATCAGCTCCTTTACACGCCTCTCAAGCCGACGCATGCCAAACTTATGCTCACACCTGGTCCAACTGATCAGGGCCCCTCACCGTCCCTCGCATCTGGATCGGGCTCTGGCAATTGTCATCTCCTGCATGGGGCACTGCCCCTGTGTCCAGAGTCAAGTCGGAGATGAACCAGCACTATCTTCATGGATTCACGACTTTTGGTGCGCCGAGCACACCTACACCATCCGTGTTCACTCACTGAATCCACTGCTCTGTAGATATGGCAAGTATATTTTGACTCCTATCTCTTCAATCCTAGCGTTTGTTCATCAAAAATATTCTTTACTTTGCGTGTCGGCGTCGATTAGGGTACGAACACTTTGTTTCACCGTGTACCTCGTGTTTTTTTTTCCCTGATTCTCCTATCCGTCTCCTACGATCACAGCCGACCACTATGGCTCTGCAGAGTTAATCTTTGGCCAATTTCGTCGAGCCTTATTGTCAGCGGATAACAATATCTTCGGTGAGGATGAAATAACCTTTCGGCGAAGCAGACGACTGCCATTACATCCACCACTCTGCGCTACAAAATGGTGCATATTCATGGAATCTCACATCCCATACACCCGTTCCCGAGTAGAGGACGCTGTGCGTGAACGTATGCGCAGAACCATGGGGGACACGATTGACATACTTCAAGTACACTGGCAACATTACGACAACTCCGACTATGTCAATGTGTTCCGATACCTGGTTGATATTAAACGTGATGGCGAGCTCAAGGTCAGGGCTTTAGGCCTCGTCAACTTTGACTCTCAACATGTCAACGAAATCTGCGAAACTATCGGTCCCGGTGAACTTCTTACTAATCAAGTGCAGGTGGGTGACCAGTTTATTACCGCCGGAACTGATTGAGCCTATATCCACTAGTTCTCTTTAATCGATGTCCGGCCACTCTATGACATGGCCGCTGTATGTAAAAAACATGGCGTTAAGCTCCTGACATATGGCACATTGGTACGCCCGGCCTGCTTTTTTCGTGTTGATCATATCTAATCTAATGATTGGCGAATCACGTTTTAGTGCGGTGGATTCCTTTCTGATCCCTGGTTAGGGAAGCCTCAACCAGACCCATATAAGGATAAAATAACGCCATCTCAGCGGAAGGTAAGCTCAAAGCTCATCCTTGTCTCACCCATTTCGTTGATGGTTCGTTCAGTATCTCGATGTCATCACCGATGGATGGGGAACATGGGATCTCTTTCAAGCTTTGCTCACAAGCCTTCGAACGATTGCAGATCGCCATGGGGGCCTGAGTATTGCGAACGTAGCTACTCGTTGGGTGCTGGATCATCCTTTTGTAGGAGCTGTTATTGTTGGTAAGTGCTCCCAAGTTCCGTGCTCCAACATCAAGCTTCTTCAGTCTTTCATGTGGTTCTGGCTTCTTTAGCTGACCCCTCCCTTTTGGCCTGCTAATTCACGCATGGACGCATTCTTGGGTCCTTTCTTTGAGTCTTCCATACACTGATGGCCTCATGATCGACTTGAACTGACACACATGGACATCCACTGTAGGTGCCCGACTTGGAGTAGCCCAGCATCGTGAAGACAATGCCCGGACCATCATGACTAGTTTCCATCTAACGGCTGAAGACAATCAAATCATCTCAAACGTCTTAGCACGGTCCAATGGCCTGAGGCTCATCCACATGATGGGAGATTGCGGTGCAGAGTACCGTTAAAGCCAGACTCGTACCAGAGTTAATCAATGTCGCCTTGACTGAAGTGTCCAGTCACAATGCCATAGATGCGACTCCAGTCAACAGTGAGGATGAGTCCCTAGTTCCCTGTGACAGAACCGAAGAATCTAGCGACCGTTTGAGCACCCAAGTCACCGATAAACCAAACATTTCAGTCTGGGACCAGTGGCGAGTCCCATGCTAGCGTGCATGGCGAAGCGGCTGAGCAACATTCTGTGCCTGAGTACGATGAAGGACATGGTAATTCTGCCCAAGAAAGACCCAGACAAGGTCTTAAGCTTAAGCACGAATCGGAGTGCGGGCGATGAGCCAGCCCGAGTGCGTGAACCTAAGGGACCCAGCACATACGTCGCATAATCGCTCTGTTTGATGCCGTACGCGATCAGAGGGCTACAGTAAACCTAAATCCACCCCAACGCTTTGGTCTCACGTGAGTGTGGGAGCCAGCCACAATCGGACTGAATGACTGACTCCCCCTTGTCTACTTTACTGCCTGGGAACCTTCGTACATGATGTGCACGTCTATTGATGTGTTCAGCCTCCAATGTCACCGTTTGATATGGTACAGACAGACCTTTGTTCCCAGGTTGTGACTCGATACTCTACTTATTGCGATAGTTGACATATTCGGTGAGCGCTCGTTTACAACCTTTGACATCATGCCTGACCCATGCAATGCCCTTGCCCTCCTTCCACAATGCTCTAGGATACTACACGAAGGCTCCCTCATTGTGTCCCACATCAGCAAAAAATTGTTATGCTCCTGAGTGCTCCAGAGTATCGAGAGCACTGGGAGAATCAGGAGGAGATTGGCCAGTCCAGGAACAGCCCATTTCCTCCGGAGTTGGCTAGGTACTCCAGGGCACTCCCAGGAGGGCCTGGAGCATTGCTTTGTGCACAAACATATCCAGTAAATACAATTTAAATGCTTCAAAGTGTATAGGGGTGAGAAGCTTCTGGGAGCTCCTGGAGCATTTGAAAATGAAAAGGAAAAAAAAAAAGAGGGAAGATCCCCCATGAATACCTCCTACCACAAGACTAACACAACAAGACACTGCTTAACATTTAGATCAAACACTTTACTATATATCAAGGACACTGAGACTCACCAATACACAATCAAAATTTATGGCCTGATATATGATTAATCTGGCAACTTAATCACTTTCGGGCTGGCAGAATATGGGGGAGGGGGAAATGGGGGAGAATGAGGGGGGGAAATGAGGGGGAGAATGAGGGGAGAATGAGGGGGGAATGAGGGGGGATATAGAGGGAAATGAGGAAATTTTGAAAAATAGGGACTTCTAAAAAGTTGAAAAAAATAATTAGGGAAAAAATCAAAAAAAAAATTCAGGAACTGTAGTGCCTTTGAAGTGCTTTCAGGATATATAATTATTTGCAAAATCGAGGAAGAAATGATGGAGAAAAATGGAAAATACTTTCGGAGACCCGAGAAATAATGAGAACTGAATTGATGGGAAAGTCTGAAAATTGAATAGGAAAGTGAGGGGAAGCCTTGTAGCATTGTTATTTTCTGTTGTTCTGATTTTTCCCGATTCTTCTTGGTCTCATTCCCAGCTGCTCCTCAATACTCCAGGAAGCTCCTGAAAGCTCCTGGGAGGGTCCAGGAGCAGCTGGGAGTGAGACCAAGAAGAATCAGGAAAAATCAGAACAGCAGAAAATAACAATGCTTACAAGGCTTCCCCTCACTTTCCTATTCAATTTTCAGACTTTCCCATCAATTCAGTTCTCATTATTTCTCGGGTCTCTGAAAGTATTTTCCATTTTTCTCCATCATTTCTTCCTCAATTTTGCAAATAATTATATGTCCTGAAAGCACTTTAAAGGCACTATAGTTCCTGAATTTTTTTTTTGATTTTTCCCTAAATTTTTTTTTTCAACTTTTTAGAGACCAAAATTTCCCTCCCACTGCTCCTGGCACATTACATACTCCTCACCACTCCCAGCTGCTCCTGAACCCCCTCCCAGGAGAACACTATTGGCTCCAGGAGTGCCCAATCTGCTGTTTTGTCTCCCACATGCTCCAGCCACTCTTGATGCTCCGGAGCATAACGGACTTTTGCTGATGCACTGCCGTCACATCTCTGGCGGCAACTCCCTTGACTGCAGCCACTTGTCTTTGAAAACTGTTCACACAACCCCACATCTCATAACACCCTTTGCGTTCTGCCCAACCACCCCCCGGATATTTCTTAGGAAGTTTCTCTTTTGTATTTAACTGGAGACGACCAGAGACGTTCAGTGTGTTGCTGGTGTATCGTGGTTAAAGCAACCCCTTCAGCACATCAATCCTCCCCTTCAACATGCGAGGGAAGTGCCGACAGACTGCAATGGCTGACTTGCACATGACCTTGGTTTCGGCACTCTATAGACAACCTTAGTGCTGGTACGTAAAAAGTGGTTCAAAGACGTATCCCATCGTGTTAACATGGTGCCAACATTCAATAGCAAGGGCTGATTCAGGATTATGGAAGACCCTAATCACTGCCTCCGTGTTACCTGGGATCGCAGTGAATGAATGATCCCTGCCATCGCAAAAACGCAATATGGTAACCATCGCACACTTCTTCCACTTGTTTCTCCTTACTATCGGATGAGCAATGCTCTTACAAGGTACTCACGAATAAGGCGATTTGTTTGAAGGGTCAATTATACCATCATGTCATGTAACGTGGCATGGGATTACCCTGAGATCCCAACAGACCCCTCGTTCCTTCATCACGATTATTCTGACTATGATATGGATGCCGAGTTCTGGCTAGGGGAGAATGAATGGACATTGCATGCCCAGTTCGTACGGCATGATCCCCAGGCTGTGTTCATCATGCATTCGTTTGGCCCTACGTCATGGATGGATTTGGCTTTTCTTTTCTCCAGGATTCCATGCCTGCCATCACCCCTTATTGGACCATGACACACTTTCGACAAGTGTCCCCCTCATGGTTGCAAAGGATACACGATGAGTGGAACGTACAGCAAAATCACATTGACATATTGGAACAGCTATATACCAAGTTCCCTGGCCTGGCGTTGCCTGTTTCTTTGAGCCATCATTGGCACAACCCAAAGGAGATGGATGTCAGGGGACGTGCGTGCTCGCGCAAGATGCTCCGATAACCTAGTTGTGATTAAAGCCGGGGGAAAGGGATGTCCCCATCTTAGGGTCAGCTATATACATGTAGAGTCCGGCAATAAGGAAACCAAATGGATTGCTGATAGAATCACATGATCATAGAATGTTCCAGAACAATGCCGGAGATGATCCGGGTCACCGGGGCTTAGGTAAGCAGAGTAGACGGGAATTACTGGCATACTTCCCACACGCATACACGCAGCCGGCATAGGGTCCAGGGTCATTGCTGATCCCTGACAATGGACAGGTGGCTGAGCTACTTGGTGAATGCATGTCAGGACTTCCAGATTAAATTCACAATGGAAGAACTTTATCGATGGTTCAAGGATTTGCAAGGGTGGTGTCAGAGACCAGATTGAGACAAAGGAATGTCTCCATGGCAGAGGGCTTCGGCCTCAGTGACTTATGCCAGGAGCACTGTGCCAAGTAACACGTCCATGCCCTAACTTACTAACTGGCAACCAGAACTAACAGGGGGTAAACTCTAGTCAATTTTATGTAACCTATGTACAAGTTGAGTATATATAGTTACAATGAGGGTGGGCCTGTAAATGGTGGGGCCAAGCAGAGTGGAGCTAACGGAGTTAAACATTAGCCGATTGAATATTACCAACGAGTTGGGTTACGGGGTTAGCAGGATGGTAGGCGATAACCCAGAAATGGAAAGGAGGGATAGGCCTGAAAGGTGGACTTGCAGGGCAAGCGAGTGTATTGCCCAGCGGAGGTGGGAGTGCACTAGCAGACGTCAGAGCTGTCTGGAAGCCTTCAGGGCTCCATACTTAGGGAGGCATAGGTAATAAATTGAAAAGAGGGGGTGGTGACCATCGAGGGATACCGAGGTGATTGCAGAATATGGGAGCTCTGAGGTTAGTGAGGAAGGAGTGGAGGTAGTCTGGAGACTTCGGAGGTAGTGGAAGTCGATGGCCGAGTATGGATATGACAGGTGGATAGAACTATCGCATCGAATGTTCCTGGTCGCACTTACCATCATCACTGGCCATCGCCTCCTGTCGTTCCCTACCTCGAGGTCCATGCTGGGTGCAATCTTCAATGCTTCAGTGTCCTGCATCCTCCAGTGATGTGAAGGGCTTGTTTTGTTGAAGCTGTGGATAATTTTTGGCCATCCACTCCCTCATTCGGACCTCCAGTGGCTTTGGTGGTGCTTTTTGTTTGAGTGTGGCCAAGTGCGCTTTTTCTTCATGCCAGCTTGTTATTTCTGCCTTCTGTGAGTTGTTGAACACTTTCCACCGCTCCTTAGCCTCTTCCTTCCATCGTTCCAACTCTTGCTCATTTAATTTTCTCTGAGCGTGCTCTGCTTGGTCCCTCAAGAAACCATCATGTGTCACAACTTGGCCAAATGTCCCTTTAATGCATCCACCATCCTCCTTCGACTTCTCTGCTTCTTCCCGCGCTAAGAGCTGTGTCTGAGCTTTAGACACATACATTCCCCCTAATGCCAACTGGGCATTTGCCACATCCACTGCATCAACAGCTCTCTCCACCAACACTTGGGCCTTCCAAAACTCATGCCGCATTTCTTGGTTTTCTTGCACTAATTCAAGGCAAGTCTTGGATCCTGAGTCACGATTGTCTGCGAGATCCCATTTAATTGGGGGTAGATGTCAGAGACCAGATTCGAGATGAGGGAGTGTCTCCGTAGCGGAGGGCTTCGGCCTCAGCGACTTCTGCCAAGAGCGCTGTGCCTAGTGACATGTCCGTGCCCTAACTTACTGACTGGCAATCAGAACCTAAGGGGGGGTAACTCTAGTTGATTTTATTACTGGAGTGTAACCTATGTACAAGCGGGATATATATATGGTTACAGCGAAGACGGGTCTGCAATTGGTGGAGCCAAACGGAGCGGAGCTAACTGTCATATCCATTCCCGGCCATCGACTTCCGGGCTCTCCGACCCCTCCGTTCTAACTCCGCTCCCCCCTCACCAACCTCGGAGCCCCCGTATTCCGCAAACCTCTCGGTACCCCTCGATGGTCACCACCCCCTCATTTCAATTTATTACCTACACCTCCCTAAGTACGGAGCCCCGAAGACTTCCGGACAGCTCCAACGTCCGCTAGCGCACTCCCGCCTCCGCTGGGCAATACACTCGCCTGCCCTGCAGAGTCCACCTTCGGGCTTATCCCTCCTTTCCGTTTCTGGGTTAATGCCTGCCTTTCCGCAAACCCCGCGAACCGACTCGTCGGTAATATTCAGTCGGCTAATGTCTTAACCCCGTTAGCTCCGCTCCGTCCGGCTCCGCCAATTGCGGAACCGTTTCCGCTGTAACCATATATATACACTACTTGTACATAGGTTACGCCCCAGCAGATAAATCAACTAGAGTTACCCCCACTAGGTTCTAAGCGCCAGTCAGTAAGTTAGGGCACGGACGTGTCACTAGGCACAGCGCTCCTGGCAGAAGTCGCTGAGGCCAAAGCCCTCCGTTACGGAGACATTCCTTCGTCTTAAATCTGGTCTCTGACACTAACGGGGTTAAACATTAGCCGACTGAATATTACCAACGAGTCGGGTTGCGGGGTTAGCGGAAAGGCAGGCGATAACCCAGAAGCGATAAGCCTGAAGGTGGGCTCTGCAGGGCAGGCGATTGTATTGCCCAGCGGAGGTGGGGGTGCGCTAGCGGACGTCGGAGCTGTCCAGAAGTCTTCGGGGCTCCGTACTTAGGGAGGCATAGGTAATAAATTGAAATGAGGGGGTGGTGACCATCGAGGGGTACCGAGAGGATTGCGGAATACGGGAGCTCCGAGGTTAGTGAAGGAGGAGCGGAGTTAGACCGGAGGGAATGGAGGGACCAGAAGTCGATGGCCGGGGATGGATATGACAGTAGATCACTAAGTTGGCCATATGCACATTCAGGAAGTTTGAATGTTGAATGGAGAGGTGAGGAGGACACAATGGAATTTGTGGATGAAGAAAATGACATAATATGTTCTAGGTCATTGATGGCACGCTTCTTTGCTCGGGCATGAGCTGGGGGAAAGGTAAGAGTCTCATTGGGGCTGATGGTGGTATTCTCGGTGCTGAACATTGTACACCCGGTGCCAGAAGATTGTGGTGATGCATGGAGATTGTGGGTTGGGGTGTTTGTGATTGAGAGACAGCAAGCAAGGTGCGATTGATGATTGGTCGGTCACTTTCATCATCACTAACCTCATTGTCTGGAACATTACTTCCACCTAGGTACATTCCAACATCCTGCAAGTTGTCCTTGGTGAAGGTGTGCATTCCCGTTGGTATTTATGAGACATCAGCTGACTGTGAAAGTGCATAATGTGCTTAACAGGTGAGGCCACAGGGAGAGGAAGATCTCCTTGGGTGGAATGTTCAATACTCGGTGCAAGTTGTTCTGGGTGGATGACACTTGGGTTGACTGGATAGATGCCAGTTACGTGGAAGCTGGTGATAATGTGAGCTGGGGTTATGGTGTCTGTCCATGCTTGACCGAAGACTGATAGAAATGAGGATTTGTTTAGCTTCCTTGGGTAGTTTCGTAAATTAAAAGCGTCGTGCTCCTTTGAGAAGCCCCGCTTTAAGAGGGAGAATATAACAACATCAAGCCCCTGGAGAACGTGTGTTGTGTGTGCAGGATAACATATAACAACAATGTTGTGGTTGCATGCATATGTTATGAAGTCCAGACTGTAATGTGAGTTATGTCCATCCACTACCAGGAGACGGTAGCAGCCAGCTGTCAGGGCACGGCCTAACTGGCTACCCTGACCCCCTATGCCAGAAGGGAGTTGCCGTCAGATGATCCAGAGTGATCCGAAGAACGCAGGTAATCTCGCTTAGCTCTCGCTTAGCATCCTGCTTCTATCTTCCGTCCACATGTCACCCCTTTCCCACACCTCGCTTACGATTACCCAAATGAATAGTTATCTTTTCATGTCATCATTCTATCGGCTGTTCTTTATCTCGTTTGTAGCCGCACTCTAGTGGATAGCGGTATCCATGTATATAAGCCCTATCTCCGCTGAAGGTGGCGCTTCAGCGTTAACAACGACTAGGATTCTCGGGAACACCTTTATCGTCGTGAACTGACACGCAGTCCCTGACACCAGCAGCCTTGTGTTGTGTAGACTCATTCAAGGTTTGAAGCCAGTCTAAGCCAATCTCATTGTCTGTCCACTCCTTTTCCGATACAGTGACTCTAGAACACAAAAATATGAACACACATTCCATGTAATGAATGGGTAACTTACATGGCCTGCAAAGGATTATCCTTCAACCACTTTGAATTAACATTCTGCCCCTTAAAAATAACAACCAGAGGCACTGAAGTGCCATCTGCACAGACAGTCACAATCACACTGACATTCTTGCGATTCTGTCAGGGATCAGCCCCTGACCCCGCTGTCAGGGCACCCAACCACACCCCAGAACCACCTTCCCAGACTTCCCCCACTCCCCAGACCTCCCCATCCCTACATACCTCTCACAACTTCAGCCCGCATGTGAGCCCGCGGGAAAAATCACGTGGGTTAAGGCGAGCAACTCGCCTTAACCCATGTGACACCTTTTCCGAGTCGCAGGAACATGCTCGGCTTCTACCCGGAGTCACGTTATGAACTGTACAGTACACTTCCTTTTTATAGTAGCCAAGTGGGGAATAGGGAAACTTACCCTTCTTCTCAACTCAATCCCCGCTTAGGCAAGTTGTAGTTACCCTCTGTAATACATGCAACTCAATCCCCGCTTAGTCCCTTCAGTGAGTTTGAGGAGCTGAGGACAGGGTCTAGCGCCCAACCACCTGGAACACCGCGCACACCTAGGACTGAGGTCGGGCTGTCCCTGATCGAGGACCGAGCCCTGACAGATTCCCATCGTGTTGAATGTGTGCCCTTTTTGTCATCCTGCATGCAAAGACCTTGACCCTTTCCCCAGTCCCAAACGGGAAGCCACTCTCATCCATAGCATAGACATCCTCATGTCGGAAATTGAAATGATTATACTGAGCTTGTAATAGTTGGAACCAGTGTTGGACAGCTGTTGGATTTACAGCACCGCCCCAAGTACTTTCGAGATTGGCACTCCACTTGGGTTGAAGTCAGTCTTTGTTGCATACTAAAAACCCATCAACCCAATTTTTGCTAAGCTTGGTGAGGGATGGGTGCCATATCTGGGCAACTTCCAATGCATACTCAATTACATGATCGCGGGTTGCTGGGAATCCATGGTTGGACATAAGAAGAAGAAAGTCTACAAGTGTATCACTCTCCACCTGATTCAACCATGACTGGTTTATTGAGGCTTCAAGGTGACTTTTCCCACCATTGAGCCTCTGCATGAATGTTGGATAGGACACTCCACAATTGGAAGCATGTTCCTGAGCACTGGCCGCTTTTTCACCCTTCTGCTTTGCACATAGAATCTCAGTTCTGTATGAAGTCAGGGTTTTCTGCATGTGCAGCTCTGTTGCCTCAGCTGCAAGATGCCTACAGTGCTCTAAGGAGTCCACATGCTGGGCCATTTGACAAAACAAGCAAGCAAGGCAATATTGGCTCCAGGAGAGGCAGGATTGGTGATTAACTTTTTGATTGTTTGGGTAACACGGATGAAAATTATGCTTCTGACTTAGGTTCCATACAAACCCTAACACAAATAACACTGGCCTTTTGCCCACTGCCTACATGGATGGCTGTTGGTGAGATGAAGGCTGCAACATGAGGCTGGGGTGGTTAAGTTGCAAACATGGTGACTCTTCGCATTCAAGTTTCTCATGTTTCACCGATTTTTTCCTTTATTTCATGCCTGCTTGACACCAAATTTGGTACATGAGTAGTCCTAGCAACCACCTATATCCATGCCGAATCTCACCACATATGATAAAGAACTGAACAAGTTAGGTGATTGTTTCTCATTTGGGGGTGTGTCTCATTCGGGGGTGAATAACTGTACAAGGAGATAAGACAGAGGAGGAGGTCAAAGTCTGGAGGCGGAGATGTGACTGGAGTTCCAGAGGTGGAGGTGTGATGGGGTTCCAGTACAGGAGTCCGGAGCTGGAGGTATGAGGTTGGGATTGGACCCGGAGTAAACCGGAGTTGGACCGGAGGTAGTGTTGGACGTTGTGTTGGAGCCAGAGGTAGAGTGGGCTCTCAACAACCAACAGGGGGAGGAGGTGGAGGATGTGGAGTTCTGGAGGAGGAGATGGAGGTCCAGAAACAGGAGTGGAGGTCCGGAGTTGTATGGATATGACAACAATGGTGTGTATGATTATCATGGTGTTAAGCAGTAACTGGAAGTTGCCGCTTAGCCACATGACTCTATGTACACTGTTGTTACATCAGACTCAGGGTTCGGGGCTATTGCCCTGACATTCTCCCCCTTTGCATTGCATGTGTGACACATACATGGTTTTAAGAAGGAAGAAATGAGTTTGAGGTGAAAACTATTTTTCAAAGAAAGTTTGTTATCACCACTTTAAAGTGGGCAATGTGTACATTTAGGAAGAGGATGGGAAATAAGGAAGAGAAAAAAAAATGAAGGGGTGTGGGGCTGTTACTTTAAAGTAAACGGC